TTCCAAGCTTTAGCTATTATAAACTGTGCCACTATAAACATGGGTGCACATACATTGCTGTGATATGATTCTTTTAATTCTTTGGGGAAAATACCCAGCAGGGGAATAGCTGGGTCAAATGGGACTTCCAGTCCTAGTTCTGTGAGGTATCTGCATATTGACTTCCACAGTGGTTGCACCAGTCTGCACTCCCACCAACAATGAAGAAGGGTTCCTTTCTCCCCACAACCTGCCAACATTTGTTATTGGTTGATTTCTTGATAGCAGCCATTTTTTCTGGTGTGAGGTGGAATTTCAGTGTTGTTTTCATCTGCATCTCTCGAATGATCAGTGATGTTGAACATTTTTTCATATGTTTATTTGCTGCTTTTACTTCTTTGTCTGAGAAATGTGTGTTCATTTCAGGTGCCCATTTTTGAATTGGGTCTTTGAATTTGGGGGGTATGATTTTTTTCAATTCTTTATATATTCTAGATACTAGTCCTTTGTCTGAGATACAGGTGCTAAAAATTTTTTCCCACATTGTAGGTTGTCTCTTAGCTCTGTTGGTGGCTTCTCTTGCAGTGCAGAGCTTTTCAATAAGATGAGATCCCAGTTGTTGATTCTTTCTGCTAGTTCTCTTGCTACTGAGGTTTTGTTCATAAAGTCTTTTCCTATGCCAATGTCTTCAAGAGTTTTACCTAATTTATCTTCCAGCAAGTTTAGTGTTTCTGTTTTAATATTTAGATCTTTAATCCACTTCGATCTTAGTTTAGTGCATGGTGATATATATGGGTCTAGTTTTAATCTTTGGCAGGTTGAAATCCAGTTTTTCCAACACCATTTATTAAAGAGGCTATGTTTCCTTCAGTGAGGGTGGTTGGCTCTTCTGTCGAAGATGAGATGGCTGAGTATGTCTGGAGTTGTTTCTGCATCTTCTGATCTATTCCATTGATCCTCAGGTCTGTTTCTTTGCCAGTACCATGCTGTTTTTAATCACAGTAGCTTTGTAGTATAGTTTCAAGTTGGGGATTGTGATACCCCCTGACATGTCTCTGTTACCTAGAATTGCTTTTGCTATTCTAGGTCTCTTCTTGTTCCAAATGAATTTTTGGATTGTTTTCTCTAGTTCTGTGA